CATCCAAGGACAGATCAGGCATGGAATCTCCTGGCAGCAATGCTGGTGCCTCACCTGCAGCCTGTTCCCTCACCTTTGGTTGACTAGCTTACTAAACGAAAAAACTGCTGGGCTTTGCAGGCAAAAGACCAGGCGTAGAGCCGTACAATTCCACATGGAAGCCGCCTCCATGTTCGGCAGTGCTGTTAGAGATAGCCAGGGTGGAGGCAGCTGCGATCGCAATGCTTCCTTCTGTGTGAAGGCCTCCTCCATTGCCACCGGCTGTGGCATTCTGAATATTGACGTCCGAGCTCTCGTTGAGTAGCAGTTTCGCGGACACACTGATCCCGCCACCATTGTATGATGTTGCGTGGCAGTCGGAAGTCTGGACGTTGGACCAACCGGTAATTACGGCACGTCCAATTATTCTAATCCCTCCTCCCCATAAGCGCGCCGTGGCATTTCGAACACGCAGAGCTGAGCCGTTCGCAACAACCAAAGACTCCGAGCCAGCACTGAAGTTGGCTGCGTTCACACCTCCTCCGCTATCTCCGGCCGATGCGGTCTGCAGGTCGATAGATGAGTTGCCCTCGAGGTAGAGTTTTGATGTCTGGAAGCCTCCACCACTCCCCTCGATGGCATGGCTATCGGATACCGTAACCTCGGAGTGCCCGGCGACCAGTGCGAGGTCCTCAGCCCAGAATCCTCCCCCGAACCCACCCGTCTGGGTGCTCGCGATTCGCACCGCCGATCGGGCGGTCACTTCCAAACTCTTGGTCCAAAAGCCTCCGCTGTTCTGTTTGGAGGTGCTATTTCGAATTGTGATGAGCGAGTTGTTGGCGACCAAAACTCGCCGGTCTGTGCCGAAGCCACCCGAATGCGAGGAAAAAGAGGCAGTGTTCCGAATTCTGAGCTTAGAGCCGTCAGCAATCACCACATCTCCACGCCATGCTGCGAAGCCTCCTCCATACAGCCGTGACGCAGTGTTGGAAATGCTGACGGTTGATCCGCCTGTCACCCGCACAGCAGCCAATGCACCGGCCAGCTCCTGTCTAACAATGAAGCCTCCACCAGCTCCACTCCTGGCATAGGAATCGCTAACCGAGATCTGAGAGTTCTTCGCAACCACAACAGGGCCATATGACGCGAAGCCTCCTCTGTCCTTTGCGGCTACCGCTCTGCGAATACAAATTTCCGAGCTGTTGGACACGAGAACCCCACGCTCGGCTCTGAAGCCTCCAATTTGTCGAGCAGCTGTGACGTTCTCAAGAAATACTGCCGATTGATCGGTCACTTGCAGAGCAGATGCCGAAAAACCTCCTGAAAACTTCGATGCATGGCTGTCGGATATTTGAAGCGTTGAGTTGTTCGCAAGTAGCACCTGTCCAGTACACACAAACCCTGCGCCATAAGATGCGTTGGTGGCATGGATGCTGACCATAGAATTGTTGGCAAGAAGCACGGAAGCTTCCGCTTTGTGACTCTCAGACTGGACATAGAAGCCTCCCCCTGACTTGCCTCCGCCGACTGAGCAATTGCGGATCATGATGGACCCATGGTCGGAGACCTGCAACCCGTAAGTGAAGAATCCTCCTCCACTGCCACGGCCCCCGTTGCAATCTTCAATCCGTATCTGCGAGTGGGCGGCCACCAACACCTTGTCCACGAGGAACCCTCCTGCTTGCGCACCGGCAGTTGCATTGCGGACATCCAGAAGGGATTCGTTCCTTACCAGCAACCTTGTTGTCCCGGAGTATTTCAGCAAGAGAGCACCTGCAAACTTGGCGTGGACATTCTGAACTCTGAGCATCGAGCCATCCACAATACGCAAGCTGCCCTCCACATACATGCCCCCTCCTCTGTCTTGCATCGCTTGGCTGTCAGAAATCGCGACGTTGGAAAAGGCGGTAAGCACGACGGATCCGGAGGATGCAAAGCCGCCTCCCAGCTCCAAAGCGATGGTTTTGTCAATGCGAAGTGTTGAGCTGTTGCTAACTTTCACCACTTTGCTTCGAAGAAATCTTCTCAAAACAGGGTTGTCGTGACAGCCGCATGCATAGAAGCCTCCTCCGTCCTTTCCAGCACTGCTGTTTTGGATGCCGACGGTGGCATTGTTGGACACTTCTAAAAAGGCTGCATAGAAGCCTCCACCATATGTGGCATGACTGTCAGAAATCAGAAGTCTAGAATTGCCCCGGATAAGAGCTTTGGCTCGCGATGCCATGAAGCCTCCTCCTGATCTTCCAGCTGAAACACTCCTAAGCCTGATGCTTGAACCATCATCCACCTCCATACGCTTCCGAGAGACAAATCCCCCGCCATCATACTTGGCGGCATGACCATTCACAACCATCACCTCAGACATGCTTTCAATGATGACCGATCCTGTGCGAGCATAGAATCCTCCTGCATAGTGCTCGGCCCTGACATTCTGCATGTGTACGGTGGATCTGTTGGTGAAATTAACGTATTGTCCCTCTGCGAGGAAGCCTCCAGCACTGATTCCCGCTCTGGAACTGCGAATGTGGATGGCTGAACCGTTGGTCGCAAGCACGCTCCCACTGACAGCAAAACCTTCAGGGGTGTCAGTGTTGGAGACATCGGGCGATGCCGAGAACAATCACTCTTGCATGCACCCACAGCGAGTCCCAATCTCCCCTGAAACTCATCTGTGTTTATTTCAGACTAACACTAACACGGAAAAGATTCCCTGCAGGACCACAAAACCTCCTCCTGATGTTGTAGCATGAGTGTTCTCGAGGTCGAGAGTACCAGCTGCTAGAGTGAGCATACCCTCTGCCATGAAGCCCCCTCCTGTTACCGCGCATGTCTGGCCGCACATCTTACTACAGCCATCGTCACATGCAACAAAAGTCAGGGGAGCAGCTTTTGCAGCAATTTGTGTGGGGGCTGATGTCGGTGCTCACACGTGCGCTGAGCCTGCCTGAATATATAATACCTCCTCCCCCTTGTCGCGGTGTTTTGTTCACTGAAGTTTGGTGTGTTATTCGCGCTGTAATGAAGGCCTGTGGGTGGGGGGCAGTGGGATCTGCCGGTTTTTGGTCTTGTGAAAGAGGGCTTTTGAGTTTTTTCACGACAGTCGTTTTTACTGGACCGCCTCTGCAGCAGAAGGATCGATTGACTGTGCACTTCCTGTGTTGTGATCGTAGCAGCAGCCGGAGGTTTTGTTTGCGCTTGATGGGAGTTCCCTAGCGCACCTCTGTACGACATTTTCTCGGGTCGGCTGCGAACATGCCACAATCACAGCGCGTGCTTGCACATCTGTGGGTTTCTCTGCCCGCGGCCTCATTCCCTGAGCGTTTGTGGTGGGTGCTGCAACAAAGACTTCGTTGAGCCCCAGACCGGTTGAGTATGGGTGCTGCTGCACGTGCCAGGCGTGAGCTCTAAACTCTAAACCGTTTACAGACATGCTGCCGAAACAAAGCCTCTGACACTGACTTCCCATAATCGCATACAGTTACAGGCACGGAAGAGCTCCTAGTCCAGCAGCTTGGGTTTGCCGGACTCGAATCAACGATCTCTCCTTCCCAAACAGCATGACATCGGCCGTTTGGTGTAGCGAGGTGGGGTTTCGGGATACCGTGCTAGTCCTACAGCCGGACTGGACCTGAACCAGGAATCCTAGCAAAGATCTGCTGAGAAGGTCATGCTCAAAAACTCACGTCTATCCGGCACCTGCCAGCATCGCTTTTTAACAATTGGCAGTGTGCAAGATTGGGCTTCGGGGTGGCAAAACCTCAGGTACAAAAGTGAAGCAGCCCCTGAACACCCAGCTCAACCACAACTCTTAAACAAAAACCCGAGCACCAAAGCTGACATTCCTTTCGGCACTACAACTCAAGCGCCTCTGAACTACCTTGGAAAGCTTGTACTCAACCTTGGAGGCCGCAAGCCTTTTCGAGTGTCTGTGTGCCATGGGCTACAACCACCTTACTTCGGAGGATGTGGGTTAGTTACTCCGTGTAGTACTGCAACCATCGAACACAGATAGGCAACCAGAGGGACACAATGAGCTGTTCACATTTGTACCCTGATAAGTTGATGCGACCTTCTGACTCTCCGGCTTCTGCCCCCTGCACTCTGCTACTATTAAGCCTTAAGGCAGTCGCACTGCAAGCACTCAGCAGCACATGTATCGCAGCATCGGGTGGTGATGTGGGTGCATGTCAGCATCAGCAGCCCAGAAAGATGTCTTGAGTTCCCCATTATTCGACTTATTTGGCTGCACCCTCGCACACTGGGGCCCACACTGCAATGACAACCTTCGAGCTCAGGGTTTAGGCGTATCGAGCTAGGCTTGGTCGGGATTCGAAGTTCTGAGAAGAGAGCAATTCTGCTTGAATGGCTGTTTAATGACTTGTACTGGAGACCCGCACTTTGAGCGAAGGCACGACGAACAAGAAAAGCCATACTTCTGTCCCGGGATCGAACTTCGTGAGCGAGGGTGTGCGCGTGGCCGCATATGTCTCAAGAACAGACACCGTCTTAAACCAAACCTTGTCAATTAGCTGAAAAACCCAAGCCAAACACACCAAACTCCTGGCTCTGTTGCCAGTAGAAAAGGCAACTCTAGCAGCTCTAGCACTGGGGGGACGCACGTTTTAAATTCGCTGGGCCAAAAAATCCCAAGATCACTAATTAATTCGAGGCGCCTATTGCCGACCGGCTTCGAGACGGTGGCTGCATTGCATATGAGACTCTGGAGTGAGGGCTTACAGGCCAGCGACAGGATTGGCGTTGCAGTCTGGGATGGGAGTTTCGGCTTGGGATTGGCGCTTTGGGTTTTACACAGGTTACCATAGGGAAGGTGGAGAGTAGTACTACGGTGCAGCATCGGGCTCCTACACGACTTGACGGCTACGGGTAAAGGTTTCAAGATTGCAGTGGCAAATGGGGCCAAATCCTGAACCCCAAGTGTCGCTTCAACTCGTTCTGGCCTCTCCACGAGCGAAGAAGCCGCCACCTCGCGCCGCCGACGTTGCCTCCACCATGATTTGAGACCCTCCTCGAAGGTGCCTGCCAGGAAGGACAGGCTAGCTGCGCGAAGGGTGTGAAAATTATTGCGACTCCTTGTCCACTTTCCTCCTATACTACTGTTGCTTCTGCTGCCTACTGCGCTGCTGCAAGCGCTACACTGGCCTACCACGAGTAATAGCACCGCAACTCATACTCTACTTTCGCCATGGAGATTGCAGCAACAATGAAGTCAAAAATAACGTGGCAGCAACATAAGCAGCAACAAATGACAGCAGCAGCAACAACCGCAGCCACCGCCACAACGACAGCCAATGCCACCACCACCACCACCAGCAACAACACCACCGCGACCACCACCACCACCACCACCACCACCAACAGCATCAGCATCAGCATCAGCATCAGCATCAGCATCAGCATCAGCATCAGCATCAGCATCAGCATCAGCATCAGCATCAGCAACAGCAACAGCAACAGCAGCAGCAGCAGCAGCAGCAACAACAACAAC